AAACATACTGTACATATACACATTGTATATGCAGTGCTTATAGATCGTCGCGTGAGCCCATGTCTCTGCGGCTTGATTTTGTCGGTATGTCAGATGTCTGTACTCGGCGCACGCATCGACAGTATTCTTCTTAGTATTCTTTGCGTGTGTATTGGCAGACACGTAATCCTCCCACAACGCAGATCCATGCGATTGATCAGTCGCGAAAGTGGGACTCGACCCGATCAGCTACATTCTCATACACATCTCCCGAGGCCCGATCGGACACCGGCCACTCGCAAAACGATTGGCAGCGATCACCAGACATGGCCGGTCGTACTTGGTCTCTGCGATCAAGAATGATCAAGATCTCTTCGCACAACTGCTGCCGGCCGAGAGGTCATTGTCCCAGCGATAGCCTCGAAAAAACAAATGGATCAACTTCATTCCCATTGACGAAATTCACACGCACATGGGTCGCCGACGTATCCCGCACGAGCGGCCAGACGAACGGGCGGTTGGCCCTGACGTAATCGGCGTTGATCCGCCGCAGCTCCTCCATGCTGACGGGGTTCTGGTAGCGGCCGTCGTCGCGTGCTCTCCATCCTGGTCCGGGCCTGACGTCGCCCAGCATCTGAAACCCGTCCGTCAGTCGCGCAGTCGCGCTCCAACACCGTGAGGTCGGGGTAGTGGAGGCGGCGCAGCAGCTTCTTCTTGTCCGGCGTCGAATAGGTCGCTCTCACCCACGGCCCACGATCGCCGACTCGGCGGAGAAGTCGAGCACCAACTCTGACCTCGGCGATCCCGCCGTATCCTCGGCAGGTCGTGGCGCCAAGGCCGGTGTATGACCAGTAGTTTTTGCCAGGCCGGCTCCAGCGTCGGGTCCAGCGCCATGGGGTGTGACATGTGGTTTCGCCGACGCCGCCCAACGCCCGTCCTCGTCGAGGTCCTGTAGGTACCCGCTCCCCAGCAGCCAGTGCCGAGTGCGTGGCTCCAGGTCGCCGTTGACCGTCTTCGCGGTGAAGTTCTTGGGGATGTGGTGCAGCTGCTCCTTCGCCGTGCCTTCCCGCTGGTAGTACAGCGCAAAGTGGCGGCTGTCCGGCAGCCACCTCTGCTGCACATCCGTGTGACCTTTCCTCGCATGGAGGCGTCTCCATCTTTCATCCGCCGCTGGCGGAGCATGTAGCCTGATGCGACCCGATGCCACGGCATCTGAGAACTTGAGGCCGTCGAGGTCGAAGGTGTCCGAAGCCGCCTTGGCGAGTGAAGTGCCCAGGTTCATCGCTCGCCGGTCGCCGGGCTATCGACGTCCACCACATGTGCCGGCGCCCAATCCATCCGAAGTCCGCAGCGTCGGCGAAGATCGGCTCGAGGCCGAGCTGCTTGGATGCCGCCGCTGCGTCGGCTGGTGTCATCTCCACGTTCTCGACCAGGACGCCCATCCGTCGTGGGGCAACCAACGGGCGGAGGATCTCACTCATGGTCTCCGGCGCGTGGTTGTGGAAGTCGGCCGGTCGTCGTCGAGGTACCAGAGGGTCGACGAGGAACAAAGCGCCCGAGATGTGGTCATCCGGCGTCCTTGTCGAAGACGTCGGTGGGTACCACTACACTTGGCCGGCCCACAACAATGGTGGAACTCCCAACGACGCCATGCACTGCACCGGCGTCTGCTGCGGTGTGCCACCCTCATCCCCCGCCGCGGTGGCCCTTGTGGGGAAGAGCTCGCCCAGGTAGTTCGCGATGGTCGTCGTTGAAGTCGGCGAGGTCGGGCCAACCGCCGCAAACTCCATCATCGCCGTGCGATCCTCCATGCTCATCTCGGCGGCCAGCTCCGCCCAGGCCGGTCCCCCCCACGTGCAGAACCTCCCTGCGGCGGGGCCTTGGGGGGCGGCTTTCACCGGGATCTCGGCGTGAGCGGCACTGCCTATTCCAGACAAGGCGTCGTGGAATGAAGAGCTAGAGAGAAAGCTTAAACGGCGGTCTTGGGCCAGAGTGCTACCGGCGTTCGCCGTTACCGAGCGTTACTGCGCACACACGTGTGCTTCACGACAAATGGACAGGTAGATATGCACGGCCCATACATCACGGTATGTTCCTCCTGCATGACATCTGCGCGACGAGATGCACCGAAACTGAAGAAGATGCCTCTTTGAACGACTCCGAGTCAACCGCGCGGGCAAGCTTCGTTGTGCATGAATTGTGGCTTGAAAGCGCATTCAACATCAATCTCTCATGAGTTCGAAGCACTACAAATCACGTGCATTGAGTTGGTCATATTTACTGTGATGGTCGATAGGCAGTCAAGCTCCACAAGAGCAACCTGCGCAGGTAAGTTGTCAGCAGGGGATGTCCCTGGTCTTGCCAGGAGCAAGACCTGCCAATCCCAGAGCCGCTCGCGATTTGTGAGCTTGAAAATTTGCAGCAAGCACTGGCTCAAAGCCCGGAAGCACCCTCAAGAACACCGCACTCGAGCACATGCTCTCAAGGAAGCATGCATCTTCGGCGCTCACGTCCGTGAAGTCACTCCAAAATGACAAGCACACAGGCGCGCTGCGTTCGCGTGGCTGCGAGGACCAGGTCCAATGCGCAGGCGCGAAAGAACAAGCAAGGGGAATGGAAATTTATTCAAACAGACGATGCATCTTCAAACACATCGCAGCATCAGCATCACCTTTGGGATGCTCAAAAATTGAGATCGCTGGTGGCGATCTCATACTCATCTCTGAACGTATACACCTTGGCTTCAAAGAAACATCCCGACAGGTACGGGCAGGTTCTCAAAAATCGTTGCTAACCAGAGAGTAAGAGGATAGGGCACCGACAAAGGCATCAAGCTCCTGGGCTCAGGCACTCTAGTTTCAACCCACCGCTGTCTCTTCTGTTCAGATCACGCTCCTGCGTTGACAAAATTTAAAAGCTTCTGCCAGAGTCAAAAAAGGGTCGTACCCAACGCCAACATACATCTTCCACTTCTTGTACTTCCTTGGTCCGATGGTCGAGGAAAGCAGTCGAGTCTCGAGATTTTCAGACTTCGCATACCAGGCCAGGCCAGGGCGCGTGTCCCACGGGTCTTCTGGATTGAACTTGAGGAGCCTCGGCTCAGCGAGGCTCAGGGAGAAACTGCTTTGAGCTCCGATTCCTGGATGCCTCTTCGAAGGGTCTTTCATGGGTTTATGCACGAGTAACTTGAAAGCAGCGCACCCGAAAGCTAGCAGGGGGAAATGGCATCTGTGCATTGTACATGCATGCAGATGCTGGCAAGCGAATTTGACTGATGCAGCGCTCATTGTATGCTGTGTTGCGATGTGCTTCACTAAGCCGCCTGCGTTGAACGACGCATGGTTAAGCTCGATAACAACTCTGAGAAGATTGCTCACCCTCCTACAAACTCGTGGATGCTTATCGACAACGAGTCGCAAAAGAAGCCTGCAGCAAACGTGAAACAGTCTTAGGCAATGCTGCTGTCTTCAGTTGTGCAGATTGACGCAGCATGTTGTACTGACCCCTGAAAAGAGGGGTGCCCTGGAGTCTCGTTTGACCCACACCAAATCTGTAAACTACTCCCGCAAACTCCCAAGAAGCTAGCTTTCGTGACATGACCTCTGGGACAGTGACGTGCACACGGCCCTGCAACCCCACTAAGCGACCGCTTGTGCAGCGTCGCTCAATCCCAAAGATCTTTCGGAAGTAAAAGCCAAGCCTTACGCCTGCACTTCGATTTCTGAGTACGGTTTCCAAATTCACTGGTAAAAACAATCTTTGGGATGTCCTGGTTCTTGAACCGAGTCGGACTCACGGGATTGCAGTTGTTCGGATGACCGTTGAACTGCTGGCAGAATCGAGGACGGATGAAAGAGAAGCTGCATATGATGCGGTTCCTCCGGGGCTGTGTTTTTCCTCGTGGTGTTAAAACTCACGGGTCCCTGCAAGTTTCACCAGTGCAACTTCGTGGCAGGTAGATCTGGGCGGGTGTTATCTCAAAGATGGTCTTCCTTGGTTGGCACTTCACATTCAGCTTTGCACATGGCAGGTTAAGGCAGGCTTCCTGTTCTCTGACGCATGACCTGGTTTTTTCAAGCTTCCCGTAAACCTCGGCCAGGTAAACACCGTGAGTTCGGTGATATGCACCCGCTGCTCCGATCTCAGTGGTCCAGGAAGCGCCGATGTCCCAGATGATCTCAACTTCCTTAGACGAGTCTCGAAGTAACTGACACAGAGGCTGAGATGCCAGGTGCCTTGGAGAAGGTCAGACCACCATAAAGAAGCGCATCCCCGAAGGAGACGATGGAGCTGCCGTCTTCCTCCTGCAACGATTCATTTCCGGCGAAGCGAGGTCCTTTTCTTCCCTGCCCGCCTTGGTCAAGGTCCATTGTGCGCGGTGGTCCTTGTAGTCATACCTTCATGCAGATGGTGGAGCAACTGACTCGCATCTCAAAGCTCTGCCAAGAAGGCTGCCAAGCTGCAGCACCAGGTTGCCCTCGAATTCCTTACCGTTTTCGTGCAAGCAAACGACTGCTGGACACTCCCCTCGCTCAAACAGAAAGACCGAAATAAATGCCAAGACTCTGGAGGATCGGGCCCTACGGCAGTGATTCTGAGGCCACCCCTGGCCAAAATCATCCGGCATCAACGATCTCTTCAAAAGTTACACTGTGTCGCTGAGTCTTGTGCAGATCGTCGTCGAGATCGGACTCAGCGCACAAGCGAAGCAGCACTACACGAAATGCTTCATCTCAGGCCCTTACCTTGAAGTTTTCGCACTCGAAGTTGCCAAACTCATACTGGTTGTCCTCGTAGCCACTCACATCCTCATCCTCATCGTAAAACTCGACCTTGGCCAACCCATGACGCACCGAGGCCAAGATCATAAGCCGTGGCCACCTGTCCAAATGCCCGAGTCTGGAACTTCATCTTCTTTTGAAAAAGCCCTGAACCGGATCTTTGATGAAACACCGAAGCTAGGTTTGTCCAATGGTGCTTCAGCCCAGTCGCGAGTTGGCAGTGGCCAGTTGCACGTGCTGATTCCCATTCATCGTCCTCAGCGTGCGGGGTGGCCTTATCGAAATTCGCCCTCGATAAGGTGCATGCTGCATAAATCTATTCCTTCATTGTCAGCAGCATCTTCGAGTCGCGTTCTAGGCAGCCGGAATTGAATAGAGTTTGCTACAAGTCCTCCTACTACAGCAAGAGCGCACCTGGATGCTGCGAACAAGCAGCTGATGTGCCCCAGCGCCTCCGACCGAACCTTCGCCACTCTTGGCCTTCGGCGGAGTTTGTCGATCTGTACGTCCTGCTGCCTCCCCGGCAATCACCTGGGTCAGCAAAGCGAAAGACGGAGCGAGTCTGTCCAACTTTGTCACTGGAACACTTCCTGTAGCATCAGCCTCTCAACGACATTGCCGAATCTCTATAAGGTGGCACGGTTGTGTGCAAAGCTCCACATTCAGTGCATTGATCCCGAGGCTATAAGCTCCACAGGAGTTGAGACAGGCAGCGGCTGCGAAAGAGAGTGACCTCAAGGCAGCATTGAACCATATTGAGATGCTTCGTTGGGGGTAGACGTGGATGAATGTGCGAAGCTTCTCCCGGCCAAACGAACACTGAGCCCACTGCGGTGCACTCCAACGGACCTTGGCTGGCTTTGGCGCAGTAGCTTCCTCTCTGACAAAGGATTACCTGCTACCAAGGTGCTCGGTGTTGGACTGGTCTCCTGGACGCCTAAATATTCGCCGCGGTGGCTCCTCAACCAGACCCTGCCACCGCCAGCATCCAGCACCTGTGGAGCTTGCGACTTCAACACCAGACCCTGCATGCCGCATCGACACAGAGAAATACCAGGCTTCCACAGCCTGGAATACTCTGTCTTAAGTGACAAATGGTGTGCTCGGTGAGATGACTCAATGACGCAGGCTAGTAATATAGATGTCCATATTGCTGATCATCCTGGAACGACAATTCCTCACGGCCTTGATGCAGCCGAGTAGCATTGAACTTTTCCCAACCGCGGGGAGGGCCGTTTGTTACTCGTGCGTTCCCTCTGTTGTCTTGCATCCAACGTCCTCAGCACTGGCCCCAGCACCCACCCGAACTAACTAGAGTGAGATCAGGCGCTTCAGATCGCTTCGGTACCGTAGTGAAACCACCCTGGATGTTGAGTCACAGACTAGCACATGTATGGTCATATCAAAACATTTCTGAGAACTCGTTGAAGCAAGCCACCGCCCGTGTTTTTGATCCAGACCCGTGCATCGCTGCCAAGTACGCCAATTCCACCGTCCGCAGACTCAAGCACGAACGTTGTTCCAGTCTGCAGCACAAGCACACAAGGCTCAATACGAACAGTGCCTTCGAGGATTGACCTTTACCCAATCGATGCAACTGGGAAATGCAGAGAAAAGGCAAGCCGGAGGAGGTATGAGACTGAAGATCTATGATCCTCGCACCGATAGCCTGTATTCTCTGTGTTTTTCTTGATTTTGGATACTTTGGCCTGATTCCAGTCCTCTGCCTACTGACGCTCCAAAATGGGCCCTCGTCGTTTGGAGCTGCATCACCTCCAGTCTTCGCTTCGCGCATCTGATCAAGGAAGAAGGTGGCCATTCTGGTGATCGTCCGTCGCTGGCACTTACAGTGGTGTCTCCCTTTTCTTCGATTGCTGTCTCAGCGACTGTTCGCATGACTGCTGCCGTCTATAAGGTGCTGCTGCCAAATCCAGACAGGGTCTTCAACAAAGTATCTGCGCAGTATCTGCCGTTTGCGCCGGAGGTCTTAGCACTGAAATTAGCACCTGTTCACATCATCGTGCCACATCCCACTCCCTATAGGCTAGGAAGAACGACGAGTAGATAGTAAAGCGGTGGAAGGACATCAGTTGCGGCCGGAATTGGATCCTGAAGCGGTGAGAAGGTGCACAAGCTGGCCCGCAGGCAGAAGAGAAAAGAAAGCCCGCATGGAACAACAAGCATGACACAACCCGTCTACATCTTGGGCTCAGGCATCGCCAGGATTAGCGAATGTGTAACTCCAGCCGTTCATCCGGAGAGCTTTACCCCTCGCGGCGACCGGGCTCATGTGCATTCTTTCGCCCTTGGTCAGACACAGAGCTCGAGACTAGTGAAAACAGCCGAAGATGTCAGAAGCACCCTCGCGGCTACCAGCGACATGCAGTTTGAGGCGAAGCAGCCGTGGCGATGCCCATTGCGCTCGTGTCATCGTAGACCAGTAGGCCGCCGAGCTCCATCTGGACCTGTCGGCAGATGGACCATTGCAACTCATGGCGCCACAAAAAGCGGATGGACCTTGGGGAAGGGGAACATGATCTGCCGGCCGCTGCAGTAGGCTTCCAGCTTCACGATGTCGCCGCCTCCAGCTCGTCCGGTCCTCACAGAGCACCGCATGGACTCAAAACGCCCGGATACGTCCGGAAAGAGCGGAAGCGACTTGGAGCCGGTCATGCAAGCACCCCAGTTCGTCGCAGTTGGATTCCAGAGGTTGCAGTACTGCACCTGAGCTGCTCGAGCATCCGCTGCGCATCTTCACTTGCACCGTCTCTTGTTTCGCTGCGACCGAGCGGCCAAGAATTGCAGCTTCGCTTTGCCTGCTTCAACCTCAATGTCCTCAGCAGCCGGATACAAAAAGGATGCAAGCTCGACGCCACATGACAAAGTCCACCGGCTTCACTTCTGAGAAGCTTCAACGCAACACAAACTAGTGCCCAGAACCAACACGCCCCGAACTGGGAACAGTCGACCCATTCACGCGTCTGAGACCCGAAGCCACCACGTCCCTGTTACCCTTTATGACCCCACTGCAGCAAGGTTGAATTCGGCGCTTCTTATAAGATCCTGCAAGCACTGCACTTTGAGCATCGACAGTGCCACGACACACGCATCAAATCCTCGTGAATGCAGACATGATGTGCGCACGCATGCCCAGCCAGCAGCATGCGTGCATGAAAACAAGCGCAACTGGCAAGTCCAGTATGGTACAAAGGCGCATGTGTCCAAGTCAGGACTGCCCTGCTTTCTGTAACATTCCACACCTGAGCCAAGAGGCAATCTTTTCCGGAGTGACCCATGCCTTGTACTTCCAGAAAGGATTGTCGTCATCGTCCAGGCGGCGTGCCTCACAATCGGGCCAATTTCGATCCGACAAAGCGGCTCAGTTTCCAATCGGCACCTCTGCTATGAATTGCTGCCCTCGATTGTCCTTCTGCACGGCTCTTGATTTATGTGTCTCGTTCGCTGCAAATTTTAAGCTGTGTAAATGCCCCCTTGCGAGGTCTTAGCACTTGCCGCTTTTTCGTAACTAGGTTTGAGCAGTCGCAGGTCTCTCGCGACACTCAGCATCAAAATCCGCTGGACTGGGGCCACGGTCTGTTTCCCAAGACGGTGCGCTGGAGACAATGCGGTCCTCCAGATCTGTCCGTCGCATTGACGGCACTTCAAGCCGCCCACTGTCAGCAGAGCCGGCTTGGGGGAATGAAGGCCGCCAAATGGCTCATGCTGTCAGCCAGTGGAGCGACACACAGACGGCCACGATGGTGCTCCCATTACTCTCCACACTCTCAGAAAGAAGGCATGTGACATACATCCGGAATTGCACTCACGGCCAGTCCGCCAAGAAGGCAGACACCAAGAGAGCAAAGGGAGAGAGAGAGAGAGAGCGAGACTGAGATCCAGGGAGTGCGGAGGAACCGGAGGGTCCGAGCCATGGGAAGTGTAGGATTCGACGTCCGGAATGGACTGTGGAATTCTGTCGGCTTCTTTAAACGCCCTCCATGTAGGATACATTAGCGCGCTGACGACGCAAATTCCTTCACAACTCTGCCAGAAGCGGCTCTTGCAGCCGAGACGCAGAAAGGCGGCGCATTGGGTGGTCAGGATGCTGAGGCTTCAGATCATCTTCATCAATCCTAGCAGCACAACAAACAAGTCACAAAGAGCACTGAACTTCGCCTCAGGCCACCATCCCACCCTTCCTCATGGGTTCATGAAGCACACACAGCGGCCAGAAGAGCCAAGCATCTCGACAAAGTAGCTGCCGTCATCTGCTGTCGGCGTGCGACGTCCCAAGCGACGAGCCAACAAGCGGCGCCCGTCTGCATATGCAGGTGCTTTTGCCGACAACTTTCTGTAAAACACACCCAGGGATTCAACCAGCCGAGGCACCCGAGGAGAGTCGTCGGCCCGCGCTCGAGTAGTTTGAAAAGTTGGTGTCGTTCACGGACATGTTGTATGTCTTGGTAAGCACAAGTTTCGAATGCTCGGCGGTTCAAGATGCTCAACAGCTCACACGCCTGCAATTGCTACGCTGTGTACTATCCAGCATAACGATTCCCCTGCTACTTGCCAACGGTCAACAGGCGACAGAGGGTGTCAGGTGAAGAGCCCAGCTTCACCATCCACAATCACGCTTAAAGCTGAACTGCGATTCACATTTGCCTCTGCTCTGCGGCAACTCGCCCATGAGACATCATGAGACCATGGCGGCTTCTGCGGTCCATCAGACATCTTAATAGAGACTCTCTTCAAGTGTCATGCCCCATCATTGCCCATCCCGCCGCTGGTGGAGGACTTGTCTGCTGACACGGGGCATCAGCCAGCTGATCGTAGAATCGGTGACTGTCGAGCTCCACCTGTCCAAGGGATGTGCAGTTGCGACAGGACAGCAACGTATCATCCGTCTGCATGCGCTCAACTGCATTGCAATATGCCTGGTTCTCCCGCAGTGTGAAGATGGCATCCCAGTACTTGCTAGTCCTGCGCGTCATGTGCATGGTTCGGACACTGTTGCGTTGAAGTGAAGTCAATGCTTCTCACACCATCCGACAGATTCTGGAGGTTTAATGGCTTCGATACGTCAACGAACAGCAGAGACCGAGCTTGGCCTGCACAGCAGCGAGCATCTGATGTCAAATGGTTCAGTGGCCTTGCGAATGTCAGGGAATCATCGTGCAGCTGGCCAGCAGAAGCTCGCCTCAGCAAGACAGCGCCAAATCATGCAAATGCACAGAAGTCTTCTGTTGCTGATTCACTTCGGCGGAGTTGCTTTTTGAGCTCGTCGAACGTCCAGGCAACACTGTTTGGAAACTCCGACCAGGGATAGATCTCCTTGGTGCACAGAGCAAGTTGGGACTGGCCGTCCCAGTGGAACGGCGCTGCACAGCACGGCACGTTCAAGCTTTCTCTTGTTAGGCTAGCAGCCAGGGTTTTTCCAGTCACGGCCTTTCTGCATCCTCATGTCTCTTCGGTGCCGTGAATTGGATTGAGGATAAGGTCGAGAGCACGTCTCTTCGCAGTCACATGTTTGGTTCATCAGGTCCAAATTAAAAAAAGGGTTGAGCCGTGTTGAGCCTCCCCTCCGCCCTGCCCTGGGCGAAACCGCAGGGTTTCTGGATCCGGAGACGATTCCGAGAACATGGTGCAAGCAAAGGGCCGGCGGCATCTTGAAATCGGCGCTTGTGGAAGACCGATTGGTTCGCTCCAACATCTCGACCTGACTCACACATCGCTGAAGTTTCCCCTTGAACCTTCCAGTAACAAATCCTGCGAAACTAAACACCAAGAAACGTTGACAAGCATTCCGGCCTCGTCGACGAGCATTCTGGCTGCCATGCTCAGATTGCTGGAGCTGGATTCATTGAACTGCTGCTGAAGCTCTCTGGAGAATCTGCATCCCTCAGAGAACATTAAGCGCGTTGCGACCGACAGGAGGGAGCCGTGCTCAAGTTGTCGCGGGTGTTACTAGGAGTACTAGAATTGCGAGAACGTGCAAGTCTGAAGCCTGCGACATATCACTGCACTTGCCGATCCCTGGCGTCGCACTCTGCAGTATAGGCACCTCGTCGAGCATTGTGACGTTGAAATAGTCGAACATTCTTAGCATTGCACAACTCTCGATGCAATCAAACTGCTGAGCAACGGGTTTGCTAAGCAGGAACAAGAATCAGTGTTACGTGCTGTCACCAGCATTTTCGCAAACTCCGTCATGCTTTCATGAGATAGCCTGTGAAGTTCGAGCGATTTTCATGGGCCACCAATGCTGCGTCGCTTTTACAGCTGACGAACCAGTTACAGTTACAGTAGCTGTTAGCTGTTTAGTCTCCTCGAACGAGGCCTCGACCGACGCCAACCGTCGCCATCGCAATGCAGCGATGCTGCTTGCTTTCAGATATCCCCGACGTATCGCGACAATGCTGCCATTCTTTGCCGCGGCCCCAGGCCGCCAATCCTTCCTCCACCGCAGGGTCTCTCCAAGACAAACGTTGGCCGTCTTCCCGACTTGAGGAACAGACTGAGTTCATCTTGGTCACAGTATATGTCACGGCAACCCTCTCGATGAATTGTACATCTGCGCTATGCGAATCTTTCAAACGTGCCCCAAAAGCCGCAGGTTCTGGAAGCACAAACTGTGACAACTTCTGGCAGACATCTGGAACAGCAGATCCAAAATAGCATCTACTTAAGAAGCCTCCTGCTTCAGCCAAGAGTCCCCGGAATCTCGAAAGCAGAAGGCAAGGAAACGATCTCAACGTACCTCGTGGCACTGATAAGGCCTGCATGTTGAGGTGGGTGAGGCGTGTTGTGAATATGTTTCGGACATTTTGACAGCCTTGCCAGTTCGGCTTTCGCCTGCCCCGAACGACCACCCGCCCCTCCCGACGTGCTAGCTGTCGTCGGTTGAGCTGTTGTTTGCAGTCCCCCCTCCGGCACACAGTCTTACTCTTTGACCTGTCAACCCGAACTTTCAAGCAAGCCGTTGCCAAATACAATATAGGGCCGAGAAGTCTTCGAGTGGTTTTGCCTTCGGTGGCAGGCCTTCTCTCACGAATTCCTTCATCCGAATACCGCGGGGCAACTGTCGTTGTCAGCTCACGGTCAACCTAATTGCTCCAAGCGGCTGCTTCGTCGTGTCAACCTTGGAACCGGAAACCTCGGAGAAGCCGGGGCGAGGCTCTTGGGTCTTTGACACGCATGCGCAGCATGCGGCGTAGCGACACACGCTCACTTCTGCAGTTTTGTGTGCTTGTCTCCTTGTCCCTTACTTAGCTTTGCTTAAACCGACGTGACGAGTGGCAGTTGAGTACATCCGGACACGATAGGGTTGGCCAGGCTCCTTGGAATCGCAGGATCTTGCGGGCGCCGTATCCTGACCTCACGCCGGAAACAGCCACGATCTGAATCCAAAGGGCGAACTTTCCTTTGGGATCTGTGTCCACATCAAAGTAGTCCACCACATTCGGGATCAATCCGGCTTCCATCATGGCAATTTGCATCTCATGTGCCTAGGCAGAACGGCCACCAGGATCGTCAGTCTGCTCTGGGCTCTGGGATCAGAAGTCAACTAGTGAGGCCTGTCGCATCTACGGCAACTATCTGCATCAGTCGGCGTCCAGATTTCCGCCGCGCTCCAGATCTCCCAAGGGATCCATCCTGGCATCTTACAATCGGAAGTTGGGCTGCGGCGCTCTATGCCGGGTGATGTCTGCTGTGCAACTTCGAAGCGACATCTGAACATTGAGTTAGGACTAAGCACCTGTCGCCTAGACTCTACACTCTGCAACCTCCTTTCCATAAGCTTTGTCAAACACAGGTTTTCGAAATTAATCTTACCGAGACACGTGTGCCCAAGCGGAAAGGGTCATTCAGGGCGTGGGTTCGTGTTTGTTCAGACAACTTTCAACTGCCTTTTAACTGCAGTTGAAACATTATTGGTAGGATGGTTTACAAAGGCCAGTATCACCTTCATTGCGGTTCAGAACCCCTTTTACTTGTTGTCTAGATATTCGTTAGCTAACTTGCTGTCCGCATCTCTGATACCTAAACCAGAACAAGAACCGACGTACTGTCTGAAAAAAATCCAAGTAGCCATGATTGATATCTTTGACATGTTCCCTTTCTGTTGATGTAATTTCGAAACCAATGTTCTCAAGTTTTCGCAGATGCTTTGCGTTTCGCTACGCAACTCAAGTCTGTACAAATCATGCACAAGAGTTTGTTCAATATATTAATGGCGAACTTCATGATAATCTGAATTTTCGGAATGTTTAGTACAAGGGTGTAAATAGAATTATCCATGTAAAGCTTTACTACTCAACCTACAACATTTGTCACAGCGACAATAATCTGCCACCAAATGCCTAAAGCCATTAAGTCGTCATAAGTCACGATTACTTGGTAAGATTTGCTGCCTGTTGTGAACAACTTCGCATGCAGGTTCCATCTGCATGTTCACTCTGACTTTCGCACTCACTCTCGATCATTTCTTACGTCCGTATGTACATAGTCTCTCTCTTTCTTCAAATCAGTTTCGGCTTGAACTACAGACAAGAGGCACAAGACCTTACCTGCATCATATGCAACGTCATGGTTGCTTAATACGGGCGCTGTTTCTTATTGCGCGTGTTCATGCAATCGTTGCATGACATCAGACTTCTTAAGAGCTTCGATGTTTTTCAACTTCGCAATCGTGTTCTTGACAGCTTCGTCGCTCTCGTTCATCTATGTCAGCTTGGACCAAAAGACTTTGGAAGCGTTAGTGATAGTGGCTTTGAACTAGTTTGAGTGTTGTCTTTGTCTCGCATTATTTCGCTCTCCTGTCTCAAATCCTCTCTGCAGTACTTGAAGGTGGTTGATGAATACTGACTGCTACAATTACGGGTAACCTACATGCAGTTACACAGCCGAGGGGGAGTTCCCATGTTCAGGAAAGGTCCGAATTGGGAAAGGGAAGGGGAAAGGTTCCTGCAAATGAAACGAAGGAACACCACGCAGTCCAAGCCCTGAATAACCCAAATACATCCAAATACCATGAGTTGTATCTGCTTCGGCGTGCCTGTCAGGAAGATGGATTTCTAGAACCTCTGTTTGATTGAGCTTGTGGAAAGTCATCTACACTGGTCCTTACTCCTTGCCCTTGTCAGGTAGTCCCTCCCAGCCAGACAGCAGCTCTTGCCTCCAGTGGCGCAAGACGGTGCCATTCTCGACGACCACACCACGGAATTCCAAACTCGGCATGGCATTCTCGGCCGCTGCAGCAATCCTGTCAGCGCGGCGTGGCGTCCAGGCTGGGGTATGCTGTCCCGGTGAACGATTCCGAGGCAAGACACGTGGCTTTTTGTGGAGTTTCCACCAGGCAGCGATATCCCACCTTGCCCTTGGCCTCGATCTTGGCCTCTGCAACAGCAACGTCCAGAGTGGAAAGAGGGGAACGGCCATGGAGGACGAGCCACCCCCCCCCCCCCCCCCCGCCCCCGCAGTCAGCTACCAAAGACTTGCTAACGTTGCTTACGTCCTAGCCTGGATCACCTGCTCTCCAGACCTCTTCAGCCGCAGCCTCAGATTCAGACGGGGCTTGGTGGCTTGGCAGATCTTGGCAATCGCTTTGCTGCGTCCCGGACTCGCGCTGGAAAGGATGCATGGCATAGTGGCCTGAGGAGGACTTGCCGAAACCTCCCTAACACGGCTGAGCAACACCGCTCACAAGTCCAAGTGTAAGTCCACATAGAGGACAAGTCGCTCATGTAAGCAGTGAGGGATGCAGACTTCACCAGCTCCTCCGTCCTGCATGGGAAAGAGGTGAGGCATGTGATGCTCAACAGTTGCGTGAATCTGCAGCCCACTCGTCTCGTGGATTGCAAAAGACGACCGGGGTCCAGGTCTTGTAGACCTTGCCATCTTCCACGATCACCCCCGGGACAGTCAAAAAGTTTCCCTCCTTGGCTGTGCTTTTGCGACCTCCACCGTTTCGGAAGTACCGCTTCGGGCGACGATGAGTCTGAGGAGGTGGCGGCGTCAGTAAAGAACTGCGAGTATCCCTTAGATTTCGCCGTGCGGTCTCAGCGCATGTGTCCATGTAAGCATCCGGTTCAGGGGCAACGTTGTCTTGCGCCAAAACTATCTGAGCCAGGCGGCGCGCTCAGGCTGCCCATGCAGATGCTTTACGTGCATCTTTGCCTGCTTGAGTCAGCTTTGATCAGCTGTGCCCTTGGAATTTCTTCCTGAATTCCTCACTCTCGTGACTATGCCGTGATCATGCTTTATGTCAATGATACATTCATGCTTTCGGAGTGAAATTCAAGAGATCGCTACTGCTAGCCTGCAAATCTTGATCGGAACTCAAGCCCGGGCGTTAACCTAAATGGCTCTGACAATTTTCGCATAGTGCTTTGGTCTTACTTGTACCTAGAAGCTGAAACGTCTCGTTGCTGGCAGGCGGCATAGTAGAACTGAGGCATGTCGTTGGGATTCGGCAACTCAACGGACTCGCATGCCCACTCGATGTCTTCAAGCCTTGCGGGCTACCCATCATGGTAAAAACAGGGTGCCACGACGGCGCAATGCACACTCATGCGCACTCCCATGCACAGTCAGGGCACATGTTGAAGAAGCCCTCAAGAAGGCCGTCGGTGGAGCTGAGCCGACGCCCAAACCCAGAGATGGGTCCATCCTGCAAAACGAAGCTTGAATTCCCAAAAGGATATCTCCAAAGCCAAGCCGCCAGGCTTTGGGTCCTCGAAGAGGCCCTCCATGCCTGCATCCTTGACGTAGCCCTGGCAGGTCAATGAAGGTTCTCAGAGAGGTGTGGCGGTGTGGCTAAAGACGCCTCCATCCGGGTATCGGCAGTCATGTCCTGACGAAAATCAAGCATGAGCACGCTGCGGCCATGGCTTTATCGGGCTGTGCTTGAAGCTCAGGCTTTTGAGACTGAGGCCGGGACATAGTCATCCAAGGTCAAGGTGCCATGGTCGCCATTCAGATGAATCACCGAACCACACTTGGAAGAACGCAGCGAGAGACGCTGCCAGCTGGTAATGGAGACCTGCGAAGCACGCTTCAGTCTTGTCTTGTCACTACTGTGTTATCTGCCCATTACGTCGGATCTGCCAAGTGTAAGTGTCAAACCTTCAGGGCGTGGCCCAAGTTGTCCTTGAGAGTCAAAGATTTCCTTGCTTCAACAGCAGGGTTGTGGTACGTGTGCTTCCTTGACAGATGGGTGGGGATATGGAGGTTGGGGATCACTTGAAGTGAAACTGCTTTGCATGAAGTCGCCTGTTTTCGTGCATCAAGGCCACAGCTCTTTGAAGGAAGCGTCTGGAAGTGTAGAGGACCTCAGGAAGTTCCCCAGCTAAATTTTCAGAAGTGCCTCCAACCGTTACTCTAACTCCCTTGGCCTTGACTGAGCCGCCAGCAAGCGGCGAGGCGTCTCTGAGTTTGCAACTTGGAGCTTGCTCGCAGAGCTCTCCAGTCGTCGGCAAGTCTGATTTTCCGGACAGGTCGCCTGGAAGCCAGCTGCAAAACACTGCAAAGCATACAAAGGCGCTGGTTGCGATCCCGGTCGCATTGACTGACCCTGCTCCTCGAATGATTAGCGTTCCATCAGGAGACATCTCGAAGTCTGAACTTGCCACCTGCAAGCAAAGTTGTGACAAGTTTCAATGTGGACAACATCGCTTCGGGTTGCTACTTCCTGCCTTCACAACCATGCCCTGGGAGTTCGCCATGATAGCATCGCCATCACCTCGCATCTCCTGCACAGGCCGGTGAAGCAGCTAAGCCCACTGCACTGCCGCAACTGCCTCAACACTTTCCCACTTAGCTTCCGGCCCTAGCGGCCCTAGCCCCGCTGCATGCAAGACACACGGGGCCCTCTTTCTGGCCTTTGCCATTTCAGCAGCTGCCCAGGACAGAATGAACATGCCGATCATCAACAGGAGGATAACCATGCTCAATCCTGCGCTTCATCTGCCGTTCTGCCGTATGCAGGGATGCAAGGCATGCATGCACCGGACAAAGAAGGTGAAGTTGCACTCTCAGACCAGTGTCCCAACTTGCTTACCAGGACCGGCTGTTGCAAGACCAAGGTCACAAGAGATCCAACTGCAGTTGAGGTTCCCAGAATGATCTTTCTCATCATGCGACCCTCCTGCTGAACCTGCGAGCAGTTAGTCGAATCCAGATTACACCACCATGATGGTCTCGGCAACAAAGCGCAAGACAAGCCCCCGAGCCTTCTTGTATGCGGTAGCTGCAGCAGACAGCTCGGAAACACCCACCATACCGCTGCCATCAGCATCCCATTCGCGCATCACTTCCTGCGAGACCGTCATCCAAACTTGTGATAAGCTTGAAAACGTCTCGTGCCCCCGATTTGACGTCCGGGGTGGCTTCAGCTTGGCATACTGGACTGGCCCTCGTCCTGGATGCACTCTGGCAGATGCTTGTATGGCATCTCCGCCGAATTGAGAGACTTCTCCTTCCTGAATCGACGAAACACATGTCGGCACAGGGACACAGACCCACACGCTGTGACAAAAACCGTTCTGCTCCAAGCTGCATGTCAATGCTACAACTGGAGTGTTGTATCCGACCCCCTGATGCTAGCAACACGTTTTGTTGCTGACACGTCCTGTGCAGATGCCCTCATGCATGGCTGGCCACAGAGCTACCTCAACCCTCCTGTTAGCAGATGTTGGCAGCTCGTGACGTCCGGTAACCTTAGACCTCAGAGGAAAACTTACCGCAGGATTTACCTCTGCAGGCAACAGTTAAGAAGACAGGGGTTATTCCGACAGCTGCCAGATATGCCAGATGACATCAGCTTGGTCAGCAGCGCAACTCCGTCCTCCATTTCCTGTGCGAGTGCCAATCGCACGATGCAAATGCGTGCAACTTCGACAAAGAAAACAAAATGCAGCAGGGCATCCTGATTGCTGACATGACCACTTCCGTCTGTGTCCAGGCCGTCCTTCAAGTGCTTCAGACACCTGAATGGCGGAACTATGAAATCAAAAGCCAGCACGTACAGAAACGGAGAAACTCTGGGCATGAAGTTACCCCGTCAGTGGGATGACTGAGCAAAGTGCTTGAGAGAGTCTTCGAGATTCTTCTCATCCACGATTCCTGGTGGCAGAAACAAACGCTGATGTGCCGGCTCTCAAAGACACAGGCCGCACGCACATGCGCACACACGCACACAAACACCCTTCACACACATGATGCCACCGGCTCTCAAATCAGATCTTTCAATCTTGGCGACGGCTTAGCTCTCTCTTCCATATCCAGAAGACGTCCACTTCATGCCGAGGAGACAAGCATTTTACAGCAAGTATGATGCACTATACATCGCTTGCCTTGTCCCTGGCCCGTGGTCGTGTCCTAGTTAACCGATTGTGCAGAGATTCGCGAAGCAACATTTCCTCTGCTGCTGAAATTTCGGAGACCTCAGGCTTCTTAAACCGCCCCTTAGTTTGATACCAGCCTGTACTGTCAAGGTCCAGCTCGTGCAGGACCTTCTTGACACCCATTGGCATTTGCAAGGAATCGATCTCGATGAGCGTTCCTTCCTCAGTCCTGCAAGCTCGTGCAAATGAACCTGGTAGACATAGCACCACGAGGGGGAATTCAGCTTCAGGGCGGAAAATTTGAAGCATGTCGAAGCCACGTCCTCAGCCTAACCGTGCTCTTGAAAGCGCTAGAGGTCGAGCCGCCCTGTCCCGATTCTGCCTGGGCCACGCGACAAGCTGAAGCCAAGGACAACAGTAACGTAAGAATCGGGAAATGTCGGGAACCATGGACCATGGACATCCATAGGCTAGTGACTTCTAAGTCTGCAAGCCGAGACTCCAATGGATTGTCACCATCGTTCGCCGGAACCGGCGGCATTGGCATTTCGGAGCCGATGCACTTGAAAGCCGCGTGGGCGCCGTAACTAGACAACTTGAGCCGCAGGCCGAAAGCGCCAGGCACCAGAACTCCTGACGAAAGAACTAGTGGGGTGGGGTTTCACTACTTCGAAGCCGGCGATCTCAAAGGAAATGGTCGTCGCAATATGTCTCCGTGCCGTGCGAGCTTCGGTGAGGAGATGAGAAAAAGTCGGACATATTCTTTCGAAGACCATGGAGCCATGGTTTCATTCGGAGGTGTTGGGAGGATGTTGTGCAACGACTCAATACGCCTGTGACTCAGTAGGCAGTACACGGAACATCGCCTCAGCGAGCGAAGGGCTCTCGCCGGAATGCCATTGCTGACTGTCCCCAACAGGCTCCAGTCTATTTGCCTTGTTTGCACACACTACCGGAGGGGGTTGCAGGCCTAACCCTGTGTGTGGGCATCGTGCTCCAATCATGCGGCTCGGCTGAACGGCTGGGAACCCTCTGCTGCTGTGCCGTGTAGGTGGGTCAGGTCTGCTTAGGTGGCTTGAAAGCAAAGACGGAGGGAGGAGGGAGGAGAGAGGAAGAGGGAGGGAGCCATCTGCGCTGGCGTGCATCGTTTATGGCGAATTCGATGATTTCTAGCACGCCCTCCTCGGCTTAACGGAATCTGTTCAACCCCATACTGGATGACCCGTGTCATCTTGCTGCCATGTGCTGAAACCAAGATGACCTCCGGGATGGGAAGCTGCTTTTGCGGAACTGAGGCGCATGTTGCGCTCCCGGCTGGCCGTGTTGGCTAGCCCCGTGCCACTAAGCTGCTGCAAGAGCACGAGTTGCGATCATGAAACCATGGTACATGAAACTCTGCTGTCCCACGATCATTCTACTTCCCAGCTCATCAAGGCTGGATGTCATTGCATGCCGAAGTATGATCGGACCTGGAAGGCTAGGACACAGCGGGTGAATAAGCATGAACTTCCATAAACTTGAGCGAAATTCGAAGCAGTTAGCAAAACTCTGACGACGGTCAGCATCCAGCTGCAACCTGCGCATGCGAACACTTAGCTGCAGTATCTTGCGACCTTGGACATAGAGCTGGACTATGATTGGCAATCATTGACATAACAGACTGACGAGGGTTGCTTCCAAAACCGAGATCATGCTAAGGTCATGACTTGGCTGCTGTCCGTAAGAGCCTCAATTCGCGCGTGCACGCACACGCACACGCACACTTGAACACCCAGGCTTCTGGGAGGATGCATTCGTGTGGTGACTTCAACTCAGCAATAATCTCAAGCAATAAGCTCAAGACTCAGCTGAGACTTCAAGAGAAAATGTTGCCGTGGATCTCGAGGCTTGGTTGACCTTCCCTCTGTCAT